TCATATTGCTGATCTCTCATTTCTCGTCTCTCGGAGACAAGTCCTCGAACATATTCGACGCCTCCTTCCTTGGTACGATGCTCGTATGAACCAACACGATGAACACACTTGCATCGAACACATCTCGCCTTTCTTTCCTTCGTTTCGTGACGAGATTCGGGACTCTGAACGGAAGCTAGATCAGAAGATTATGATGGATGCTTTCTATCAACAATTGCACCATGAGTTAGTGAGTACAGGGACGTTGGGGACTCAGATCCGCCTTCGTGGAGTTGCTGCCCAAGGGGCGTCCGCATGGGTTCAGATCATTCCTTCTTCAACAAAAGATACGATTTTCTCGAATGCTGCATTTTCTGATGTTGTAGGTCTGCGGCTGGGGGTATCGTTCTTTGCTGAGGGAGTCGCTTGTTCGTTCTGCGGCCAAGCTATGGATGAGTATGGTCATCACATCCTTGGATGTCTCCGACAAGGAAGTAAATATGGTATTCACAACTCTTTGAGAAATACGATCCATCGTTACGCGAATTTGGCTGCCCTCCAGCCAAAATTGGAACCCACAGGACTTTTGTCTGATGATCCCCAGGCACGACCTGCTGACACACTATTGGTTGTTCCGCCTGGAGTTCCGCAGAATTCTTGGCGTAAGTTCCCTCGCATAGCCGTCGATGTTGCCGTCATATCCCCATATCAGCAGGCTTCAATGGCTGACTCTACCCAAGCTGAAGTAGCTAGTGCCACGAGATATGCGGAACGGAAACGGCAGAATCAACTCCTGGCTAGTAGATGCAATGCTATGAATCTTGGATATGAACCCCTCGTATTCGAGAGCACGGGAGGGCTCGAAAAAGGAGGGTATGCGCTCTTGAGTAGCATTTGTTCTTTGGTCGACCAGCGCCACAAGAAAAGGGGGGGTGATTCACTACGTGAATGCCTTGGACGATTGAGCTTTGATTTGCAACGAGGCTTGCAGGCGGCAATTCAGGCTCATCGCACGCTCCAGTGCGGGCACATATGCGGCCCTGATGGGGTGGAGACCTTTCTGCACATGTGCACCTTGTGACGTTTCATTTGAAAGGAGCATACCCGATGATCATCCTTTTCGGACGTTCCAGGGATACCTTGGAATTGTGCGCGACTCGCCAGGATGACCCCTCCGCAGGAAACATCCTCATGAGAGGCCGATAATATGTTCTGATTGGGCGCTGAGTCTGAACGTTCCTCAATCGAGGAGCGGTTGGTGATGTATCTGTGCCAACTTTGAATGTCTCACGTTCGGCGAGCTACTTTCGATCCTTTGTGTTCTCGTCTGTCTTCGATGGGGAAGCTGAGTCCCGCCGGGAATTGGGGGTGGTGGTGGGCTTTTTAATGCACGCCGCCGGGACTTGGCTTCCTACGTCTTTCCCTCTGTGTCTTCTATCGAAAGTATCTTTTGTAGATATTTCTTGTCTTTATTGACGCTTTTGGGAGCAGAAGCCTCCTGTGGCAGCTATGAGCATAATTTTGGCGTCGGGCGGTGACATAAGCGAAATCCGGTCAAATTTGAATTTCAAAGATATCGAAAGACCTCGAATCAGGCACATCACCATGCTTGAAGTAGAAATAATCGAGCAGCAAATGGAAAAACCCTGATAAAGGCCAACACAGGCTTGATTTGGTGCTTCTTCCGAGTCCCAGCACAGCTCTCGGCACATCTTCGGCCGAAAAGCTGGAGAATCCGCCAACTCCATGATGCCTTCACAACGATATCCGGGTCCATGGCTTGCAGAACCATACCAGCTTCAAACAATAATCAATGACCAGATTGAACACTAAGAAAGTGGGAATCCGTCTTGTGCTGGTACCAATCCTGGAAACACAGCCGCACGGTTTGTGACAGGAAGAAGGGGAAAAATGCCTTAATCCCTGATATGATTTTTCACGGTATTGTGCCTCGGAAAACCTCTTTAATTTGTTATTTTTATCTAGTAATTCATCTCCAAGACTTGACACTAATCATATGTCCCTATCTGCAGGATATGCATCATATATATCTGCCAATATATATAGAATGTCGCATGGTATATCTATCCAAATAGAAAATCGATTTGAAGATTTTCCATAACCCATATCTCATCAATATTATTAGTATTCTAATGCTCGGATATTCATAATTGATTTTGGAAGCTGCTCATGGTTCTACTCGGAGAGCGTCCGCATTTGACGAGATTATTGTAGCCCCTGGTTGAGTTCTATTGATAATACCACTTGGAAGGATCTGGGTCCGCTCAGTAGCTTCTTCGTGGCACAGGTGGTTGGGCCTAGCCCAACATGCTCGAAACCGGGAGCTTTGCCGAACGACATTGCTCTTCAATGATGATATCAATCAATATTTTTACGAAGTATCGTCGATAGATCAGATTATGATTTCTTATGGGAATTAAATGAATGGATCCATATATTCATTTCAATAATCAGGCCGAATATATGGCGATGGCCGAATTGTCTCTTTTGCATCAGCCTTAATCTGGGGCGGCGGCGATTTTTTCGTATAGGGATATGGAGGCCTTGATCCTTTCTTTCTTTGGTATATTGCCATTCTTGGGATCATCTCGGAAGATTTTTGGTCTTGGAGGTTAGAAATCCTTCTTGATCCTCTGAAATAAACCCAGTCGTGACACCCAGCAGCCAACGAGACAAAGATCGCCAAATTCCGTTCCGTTGCGGCTTACACTGAGGACCTTTTGGGACTTCGGGCGTTGCTTTCTCTTTTCGCATCTTTGAGCCGCCTGTGCGGCTGAGAGAATCTACCCAATAAGAATTGCAGACGCGTCAGAAGGGGCTTAATTACACGCATACAATACGAGATCGATAGAAATTTATCGTCATCTACTTGTTTCCTATAGAAGGCACGACTGACCCATATCATATCGTCTTTGCGAAATTTTCGGCAAATTGCGTGGCCCATTTTCGTGAAATTCCCGATAATTTCAAGATATCAATTTCATGAAAATCTCCGATAAATTTCATTTATATATATCAAGGAATTTTCTGAATATAACCCCGTGATCTTTTTTAATGAAAATTCCAGAAATATTCAAGATTTCATGCATTATTGAAATAACTAAATAATATCTCGATTTAATGGAGAATAGATTTAAAGATCGTATTGCCGTCTAGAAATACGAACAGAGAGGGATTTTAAAGGCAACAATTATTTCGTAGTGTCCCGCCACCCACCTATATTATATATATATATCACGCCCACTTATTTCATATATATATTGTGGGATTTGTCGCAATTGTTGCGCATTGCCTTGAAAGAAAGATACGAAACCCATACAATTACAAGAAAGAATTTATCGTAAGGGCTTATCATAGAAATTTATCATGGAAGTTTATCGTAGATTACTTATCGTAAACAGAACGATTTTATTACAAACTAGACTTTTGAGCCGCACCCATTTCAAATTAGTAGAGAAAAATAACACAAGATACAAAAGCAAACAATTCAAATGAGGGATACAATAAGCCACGAGGCCCCGAAACGAACGAACGCACGAAAATCAAAAGACGAAAACACAACCAACCGCCGCGAGGACCCGAAACAGACCGGAGTCCCGTGGGACGGCACCCAACAGAAACAATATGTACCAGACGGCTCCCGGGCATAAACAAGGCAACGTAGACAGCACCACATGCCACAGAACTCAAATGAAAAGAACCCAAAAGATTTCCCCGTCCTCGTGGTCAGACTTTGTGACGGGAGCCAGTGCCACCGTCTGGACCCTCTGACTCACGGTTTATTTTGGAGACCGGGATTCCTTGTCCTTCCCTTTGCCTTTGGTCGGAACAAACTCCTGCACTTTCTGTGAGCACCAAGTGCCATGTACCTTGCTAGCCGAAGACCAAGGTCTTTGTCCTTCGCCAAAGTGTGGGTTGCAACCACGTCTCTCGGGCATTTTGCGCCGCTTCCAAGTTACGGAACAGAACGACCGCTGGCTTTCTCCGCCTAAGGCTATCCGTGCTGCACCGCTTCGACCGCCACGCTTGTCGGCAGCAACAACCGCACGGTTGCTGCGGCACTGAAGAAGAGCTAGCAGTCCCCGAAACAAGCATGTTGTACGTATTCAACCAGCGCTTGGTGGAACTGCAACTTCCAGGCGCTCTCGTGAAGCTTCCCAAAATTTTCTCTGAAACGGTCCAAGGTCGACGCGCACAGACGACATGACACAAGAGGGCCACGCCATTTTATGTAGAAAAAATATGTAGGAACATTATGTAAGAAAACACTTTGAGATAAACATTTTCGTACAGATACGAATCAATCACTATTAGATTTAACAAGATGATTTAGAGCCATTCAGTATCATCATATTCCATAAATTAGTTTTCCAATTTCTTTGTCTTGTAGCACTGAGCTGCATGACGAAGCAGCACAAGTCTTTTTACGAAATGTCTTGGTGCCCACGCAAGCAGTATGAGATCGTCACCTCACTGTCGGTCGGTGCATGACAGTCATGACATCTCAGGGCACCAGGTACAAAGCACATGCTGGCAATACATCGAGACAATTATTGAGAACATCGCCACAATAAGCAGCAGAAGAATAAACGCCACCAGCCAATGTGTCCTGCATCAATTTGAGACTAACATGATGGGTGCGGCACGCACATGTAATGTGAAGCATGTCCCTTTGCGGTGTCCTGTGCGGAGAAGAGCCTTTCAAGTTCCACAGTACCAGGCATACCACCAATGATCCAACAAGAATGCAAAAGGCTGAAAAGGACCGGGCCTCTCTCGCGGCGGTTCTGGCTCTCCGACACCCTGGCAATCTCACGACTTTGATTTATGCCATAACAGCCTCAGCATGCTCCTGATGGCTCTCAGTCACTGCCTCCAAATCTGTTGGGGGGATTCTTCCACAGGATACGGTCGATCACTGCCAACCAAAATCCTGACGATCCGGTGCCAATTCAAAGCACTGCGGTACTGCTACTAAGAATTGCTCAATAGTCGCTCAACTACGTTCCCGGCTCTGAGAAGCCACAGGCTGCACGGCTTCTCCAATTGTACAGACCTGTTGCGCAGCAAAACGAAGTTGCAAAAGCAAAGAGTTGAAGCTGCGGTACCGACCAATGTATCGCGGCTCCAGGTCTGCCTGCCAATTTGGATTCTTTTTTGGGAAGCTTTGGGCTCCGGAAACAACACACTCAAGCACGCAAGCAGCCTGAAATGGAATCTCTCTCAGGACGCAAGCCCCATCGATGAAGAGCTCCAGGAGGCCACAATCCCTGGAGCTCAGGGTTATCTACATATACATATGCGTTCTGTCATCTGCTTTCTGCTTCAATATTCTGTATTCTATCTTCTATCTTGTTTAGGGGGGGCAGGACGACCAGCCCGCGGTGCCTCAACATCATGCTCCAAAACTCTGGGCAACAGTCCCCGGACGAGGGGGGCTGTCAGCGGCCGGCTTTGGATGCGGGGAGACATGCTCTGTGGACACTTAGAGCACAGCTTGCCCTGACCATACATGCATACATAAAATTGGAAAATGACTCGCTTGTAAGCGCTTTCTCATGTAAAACCATCTCTGGGATAGTTGGCTTCCTTGAACTTTCGAATGTATTACTTCCAGGGAATGTGGAATCTAGTGCATGTTCGTAGTTCGTAGGGATGTCAAGTGCATCTTCTGTGTGTGTGTGTGTGCGTGCGTGTGCGGGTGTGCGTGTGTGTGTGTGTGTGTGTGTGGGTGGGTGTGTGTGTGTGTGTGTGTGTGTTGGAAGACACAAGGGCCTTTACCCTAAAACCTCAAAGAATGCTTCTTTTATGTGCGTGTATGTCGTGGGCAGTAGGGAGATATTCGTTCGAATAGCAACAACAAAGATGGGAAATAAGTTTCTTCGAAGGGGTGGTGTCATCTTGTTAGTTTTCGCAGTCTTCAGCGTACCTGCTTCTAAGAAAATGAAGCTTTACCTGCACCCTCAAATCCGGAGTCGGTCTATTGAATGAATTGCTTGTAATTAAGCAGCCCCAGTGTATAAAGTCTCGGACTTCCATGATATCTGGGAGCCTACTTCCTTGAACTTTCAGATTTGCATTTTTATGAAGAGAACGTGCCGTTACCTTAAAGCAACTCTTCAGAATATATATATATATATCATGTATACCTTGACTTGAGCGAAATCTGCTGCCAAACAAAATCGAAAAGCAAATTCTTGAGATCCGGATGATTCGCGTCATTCGAGGGACGTGTGTGTGTGTGTGTGTGTGTGTGTGCGCGTGAAGGTGGCTTTTGGATGGATGGGTCGGCCTGTTGGGCTGCGAGTTTTCATGTGGCCGGGTTGTCTTGGGGGGGAAGGGCATGTCAGGTATGTCTTTATAATATGCTGTGTAGTGAACACGCAACGTAACGTTAGACGTACAGCCTAAGGCATCGGCCAGTCCAGGTGAACGGAAACCTCGTAGGGAACTCCAGCAAGGATCTGCTCCTGGCAGGCTCTGCACCGGCCCAAGTTTCGAATCAAAAGTGGCAGATTCCCCGCCTTCTCCAGCTGCAGAACATGCAGGTCGCCGGTCACTGGCTGCGTTTGCAAAGCAAAGCAGCGCTTGCCCTGGCAGCAAAGGAGCCAGGGAAGCGTGCATGCAGCGGGTGCATATGCGGTCACGACCTCAACACATGCTTGAATCACGGTTTGCATGTCATCCCCTCTGTAGTTGAAGATGAAAACCAGCGGTTGCAGTCCCCAGGTTCGTCTGTCAGCTGACCTTCCGCGAAGAAAGGTGGAAACACAGACAAACTGCAAAGACTTCTGCTGGTTCTGAGGGGCCAGCAGCGCGAAGAACCCGCAGGAAAATTCAAGCGTTTGCAGGCAGAGTCGGAACGACACCTGCCCAGGCAATAAGGTCTTATGCCTCTAAATTCTAATTGTACTCCATCCGCAACCTCCTACGAGATTGATATAAAGTATGAAGCATTGTGAGGCATAGAGCCCACCCATCTGGGCTTGCGCGGGCTGGAGAAGTTGCAGTACAAGCCCTGGAACCTGCCGGGGCCGCATTAGCATCATGAGGCTGCCATGCTTACGATGATGATTCTCCACGTTCCCTGGTCCTCAGGAGCCGGCCCCAACCAGTCAGTGCCCGCCTCCAGAAAGATCCTCAAGACGATTCGAGCACCCCAAGATCTGCACTATTCTGCACTGCCCTTGCTCTGACCAAGCCGGGAGGATTGCCACGCACCATCATCTCCGGCCACACAGCCTGACTCATGGGCTTAGTCTGCCATCTTCATCTTGGAAAGCTGGATGCTCAGTGGGAAGTGCCATGCCTGGTTTGGCGACGTTGAACGGCTTCCTGATTTGCTCCACTCGTCCATGTTTCGAGTACTCAAGCATTCGCGTGAAAACGGCTAAGAATGGAGCGACGTGTTGGGCCCGGAGTGCCACTGATGCGTGTCCCGCATCCAGTCAAAGAACGTAGCTGCCTGCACTTCTGGTGCTTTTGCCCGCAGCCATGACTAAAATGCAGAATCAAGCAGCCATCACGAGTCCTCACTGGCAGACGCTGTTTGAAGTCGCAGCCTTTGTCAGCCCGATTCATGAGCGTCAGCCTTTCGATTTCCTGCAGCTCTCTCGGATCACCACCCTGGCCGATATCGAGCTGCCAGCACAAGCGGGAGCACCTCTCGACACGCTTTGCCAGCTGCTTCCAAGGACGCAGGCATCGGAACCATCAGAAAGTTAAGCAGTACGGCAACTTCTCCACTGAAGGCATTCTCATGTTCCCAGCCTCTTTGGCGAAAGCCTTCTGGCAAGTTGAGAGTCGAGAGCTCCAGCGACCCCAGTGCGACGTTGCTACACATGGCAAGACACGGCAACATTCCCCTGGACCAAGCCTGCATGTTTCTGCAAGCAGAAGTCGCACGTCCAACCTGCCACGCAGCATTCAAAGGACTGTCGTCTCGTGGAACTATGGTTGAACGACGGCACTGTGTAAGAAATCGATGGATTGCGAAACTAGCGCCCTCAGCCATTTCGCCCTGTGTAAACCACCCCCCACGCAACTTCAATCCGCACTAGTTCGATAGCGCTGTTGAGCCCATGAATCTTGGGGGCGGGGGGTGGTTATTTGGGGGGGCCTGATTCTTGAACCTTCACAAATCCTTAAACCCTAGGCCCTAAACCCTGAAACCCTGCAAATCCACAGCCCTTGCTTTCTCTGCTGCTTGTGGGCCCTCGCTCTCTCTCTCTTTCTCTCTCTCTCTCTCTCTCTCTCTCTCTCTCTCTTTCTCTCTCTCTCTCTCTCTCTCTCTCTCTCTCTCTCCATGCTTAGCCCCCCCCAAGAAGGATTGTGTCTCACCTTCCAGAGCCCAGTGTTGAAGTTTAGCTTTCAGCTTACTGGATTTGAAGAGAACAGGAGCAAGTGGGTGGCATGCTATTCCGAGCTACTTTCCTGATTCTAGTTCGGCAACATTTCGCACAACTCGGAACTGTTCTGTCTGTCTGTCGGGAACATTTCAGCACTATTCCCAACCACATTGATATACAGTGATCATCAGAACTTAGCATTAACTACATAAAAGCTCGAGGGTGCTCTCAGCCTGAGGTATGAGTTCAGGGGGAAGGGAGGCGTTCCAGAGGGGCCCCAGAAAGGGTCCCAAGGGGCCCAGCGGGTTCAAAGAAGCGGCAGTCTTTTAATGTTTTTTTGTCGTCGTGGTCTCTGGGTCCCACAGTGGGGCGGAGGGGTGAGCAAAGTTCGGCTCGGCAGGAGGCAGAAGCAAATTCAGTCAGTCTGCTGCAAAAAAAAACACCAAGAACAGCACGTCATTGGACGCAAGTGGATCTGCACCAAGTGACGTATGACTTTGGCTTTCCTTCGTCTGCGGACGCTACACCCTGCGTCGGGCCGGCCCAGCTGCCGAGGCGGCGCGTGCAAGCGTTTACAATTTCAGGAAATGAAGGGCTGGATTTCTCAGCGGTGAGGGGGTTGTGGAGTGAAGAAATTGAGGGGCTGGATTTCTTATTTCGGGAAGGTCGTGTAACATGTGAGGCACTGGCTCCTCAATCGAAAAGCGACTGGTTTCAGAATCAAGGCTGAGTGTAATGCGTTTCTTATCCAGCGCGGTCACTGCAATATCATGCCCATCATGCCATGCATGCATCAAGTAGCTCTGGGCGCCTCCAGTGCTGGCAGCATCTCGCAAACCCGCTCTAGCAAGCCATGCTCGATCAAGCCATCGAGCGTCCTGCAAACGCGCAAAGCCGTGCGACTGCCACTGAGAGGTGTCACCAATGGGGTGCTTCGGCTCTGGCAACAAGGAAGGAGGCTAAGGAAAAGCGCTAAGCCGCTAAGCGAAGCGACGGCACGAGAAAACTTGGCTCTCCTGCTCCTGCTCACAAGCTCCAAGGCCTGAGTGCTTTGATGCAGAGGACCTTCTTGTAATCAATCTATTTGCATGCAGTGGAATTTCACTTGGAGGGCCACCGGTTGTTCGTGCCCCTCGGATGGTCCTCCATGCCGCCGCCGCCTTGGGTGATTTGAGCTGCCGTGGCTAGCGCGCGCAAGCGGCAACATGCGTAGTCCGAGAGGATTATGTTGCAGGTGGTCTGCGCCCCCGATGCTGAGCCTCCGGCATAGTAGCATAAGCTGCCACAGGAGCAAGCCTAGACTTGCTCGACTTGCCCTGTGCTCGCCATGAGAAGCTTCTAGGCTTTCCTGAAAAGATATCTAGGGGCGACATGCGGCTTTCAGCACGTTTCCACACTATGGCTCTGCGTTGACACCTAGGGTGCGCTAAGGTCTGCTTCCAGCCAGACTGACCATGTTACCCATGGCACGCTTTTGCGCTCAGCTTGAGGTACGAGGCAATTCAGACACTGCCGTGCTTCATGACAGAAAGCAGATACGGAGGAATTGGGCGCGCTGCTTGCGGTCCTCTTTAGTGACACAAAGCTCCCCACGTCACGAGGTTCACTGCACGACGCATGAATGCTGAGGATGTCTATGCCGCCCGTAAAACTTGCACAGGGCATTGCCATTCCAACAGCCCCCACGTAGCGTTGGGTTTACAGACATGTACGTCGGATCTGGAAAGTGTGAAGCGAAAGAACCTGGCACCAGTTCCCGCAGATAGCAATCGAGTTCCAACACGGCCCTTGCAGAGTGCCCGAAACTGTTATCAAGATTGCCTTGGACCACCGATTCCAGACCTCTCGTGATTACAGTGATGGTCGGTTGCTGCATCGCGGCGCGAGGCAGCGGGGCCTTTCTCTGCAGATCAACGATCTCGACAACAAAGCGAGACACACACACACACACACACACAGTGCCCAAAGAAGAATCACAAGTTTTGGCCTCACGATCGCATGCGGGAGCCTTTTGCTCGGACCGGACATCGGCTTTGAGTTGCTTAAAGAACTACCACAGCCTCTCACAGCACAGGGACCCATCGCCGAGAGTGCCAAAGAAACGCGTGCAGCCTAATTACCAAAGTAAAAAGTAGAATTCGGCGTAGTTTGGAGCAATTCAAGCTCTGTATTGGTACGGTTCCCATGGCACTCTGGGATGTTGCTGTCAATGCTGTCCTAGGTGTAGAGGTCTGAGAGCAGCCGGCAGCCCCCTGTGGACGCAACTTCCTCTTGCTTCTGTTTTGGCGCCACCTTGGGGCTCTAGGGTCCCCAGGAGGGATCCCTGTCCATCTTTGGCTCCGTGTACTGGCGATTCGAACAATGCCTTTGCAGCGGTCGGATGTGCCGAATCGCGGCACTCATACGTTGCGTCCGTCACCTTCGTGTATCCAGTGCCACGCACACAGGAGGGGAGTCGCTGCCACCCTGATCCGAACCAGACTGTAGGCAGACATCCATGCACGTCGATCTTCGCACTCCGCGATCACGTCTTCCTTCTTGTCATTCCTCAACGTGTTGCCTTGGAGCTCAGGAGTGTACTACGAATACGAGTACCAGCGGACACATCTTTGAGGATGGCCTCGCAGGTGTCCACGAGAGAAGCCGTTCCCTTCTCGAAATGCAGGTTCTCCTGGCTTGTCATATGATTTCATTACGTACGAGTACCACTGCGTACCCCCGTGACTTCAGACGAATTTTGAGGAGAGTCCGCAAACAGGCTCGGGGCGGCATCAAAGAAGCCCCCTTTCGCCTGGATTGCCGTGCTCGGTTCATCATGCAACTTGTGAGATTTGGCAGCCTCACCGAATAGCTGAAATCATGAGGAGGAGAAGACTCGCGACCTGAAGACTCGCGACCTCGACCTAAAACCCGCATTGCCCTCGCCCTACGAGATCTACAAGCTCGGGACCCTGTAAAAGCGTTTGGGATGGCTCGTCGGGCAAGCAAGATATTTCAGGAGCTCCGACTCATTAAAGTACACTAGCCAATCCTCCCACCCCACCAACAGCCCCCCGGCCCATACCTCCCGAGGTTGGTGGGATTTGGTGGGGATGAGCGTCGCTCTGTAAACATGTGTAGCTCACATGAGAAGATAGCCAACGTGATCAAGCACTCGGACAGATTCTCTTTTAGCACGAGTGGCAGAAATCCCATGGTTCCCGAGAGAAAAACTCTAGCGTTTCGCTAGCTGATCTCCAGGGTGGGTTGGGTGGGCACTTGGAAGTTTTGCCCCCCCCGTGTTGACGGGGACTAGCCAGACATATCGGAAGGAATTCCTCAAGGCCATGCCACATTATAGCTTGCTCTTCGAGCTAGCTTTCTGTTCGTCCCTAATAAGCTAGCTGAGCGCTAGCACACGTCAACAAAGGCACATGTCCGCATGTAGCAAAACTGCACCTGTAACATGTCTGGACAAGAACTAGCTTCCGCAGGCTAACCGCCAGGGCGTTAGGGGGGAACACCTGAGCATCGGCTAGCATACACTGTCGTAACAAGTCACGAATGCGTACACTAGCCAATCCTCCCACCCCACCAACATCCCCCCGGCCCATACCTCCCGAGGTTGGTGGGATTTGGTGGGGATGAGCGTCGCTCTGTAAACATGTGTAGCTCACATGAGAAGATAGCCAACGTGATCAAGCACTCGGACAGATTCTCTTTTAGCACGAGTGGCAGAAATCCCATGGTTCCCGAGAGAAAAACTCTAGCGTTTCGCTAGCTGATCTCCCACGCACCGCCGAACGGTTACCATGGGTCTAGCCTCCTGGGCCTCTTTCTCCGCCCCTGAACCGGGGTCGGCCTCTCCCTTTTCCGCACACTTAGCTCCTTGTAGTAGCTTCCTGCGTGCCCAAGGAGAAGCCCCAGGATGCGCCACTCTAGCTTCTCCCCCTTCACGGGGATCCGGAAATCTGTTGCAAAGTGCTTGAACTCCTCGTTGGTCAGATCATCCGCTAGCTGATTGAGGTCTCTGCGGATCCACTGCAGGTCTAGCTCGCAGTTCCGGGCCGCAAGTTCCTCTGCTAGCTCCATCAGGATGAGTCCGGAGGGATACTTCGTGGTCAATGGACTTCTTTAGCAAGGCCTCATTGGACTTGTTGTCCGTGTAGCCTCGGAGGGCCACTCGAGAAGCCTTCCTTTCCCCTCCTTCGGGAACCCATAGCTTCACAGCCACCAGGGTCGCTAGCAATTCTAGCGCTGCGATGACTTTCTTGGGGTCCCCTTTCTCGAAGGCCCAGGGGGCCCAGCTCGGCTCCACTTCTAGCGAGAACCAGGGTGTGTGCCCCCCGGCACCACCTCCAGGAAGCCCCCGATCCAGGCACGTCCCTCGTCGGCCTTAGCATCCGTGAAGAAGCTCCAGGGATCGTTTTTCGCTATCATGGGTAGCGGCCTCTGTAGGCGTCCCCCTCCTTCCATACGGTCGGCTCGCCAGTGGCAAAGGGTCCGCAGCATTACTGGAAGGGTCAAGTAGCCTCTCTTGTCCTGGATGGCCGACCAGGCATGCAAGGGCCCCAGGAAGGGACGCTCCCAGTCCAGTGCAATGGCTGCGAAGCCTAGCCGCCCTAGGCCTTGGGACATGGGCTTCGCCTCGGCCCTACCCTCCTTCGCGAGGTTCCTTAGCCAGTCCACTAGCCAGCTTGCTCTCTTCGGTGAGAGCCCCAGCCGGTAGCCCACATAGTCAGTCTCCATCCCTAGCCACTCCACCTTGAAGCCACCCCGCGTCTTTGGCCACTTGAAGGGGTAGCCCATGGCCGCCAGGTAGGTGTAGCTCAACGGGATCCCCTGTCGGCCTCGTGCTCCGGTGCCTAGCGTCTCCAGGTCGTCCGCATACAGGAGCATGTCGACAGGGTAGGACGCCCCTAGCAGGTGGTGGGTGGCTCTGAGTCCACACGCTGCGATCCTAGTCCACCAGTAGCTGGCGCAGGATAGCCCGAAGGTGCCGACCTTGTTGACATACACTATCTGGGAGTCCGGGTCGCCGGGGGTAGCCTCCTCCGTGTCCACTTGGCACCCCAGGTAGCCGTGCTCATCTTCCCGGTGGAGATACCGCCGATGTGCTTTAGCGATATCGCCCACCACGGAGAAGGCCTTGAGGTCCTTCTCCTGGAGCTCTAGCAGCAAGCACTTCTTTTCCCGGGCCCCAGGCGCCCGTAGCTTGTCACGGCACCTGATCCTGTGGTTCACCCTGACCCCATGGGTAGCATCGTGGATCACCCGCTTCTTCCCGGTAGCTTCGTCCTCCACGATGACCGCCAAGGCTGCGATAGCCCTATGCTCCCCATACCTCTGCTTGAACTCCCTTAGCGACATCTTTTCCATGAGGCCCTCTTGGACGTCCTCCTCGAACTTAGCTCTGACGAACTCACGGTGATCCGCAAGGGAGCCGTAATTGGGTACCCAACTTAGCGCAGGTTCCTAGGTAGCGTTCTCCAAGGCCCATTTGGTCTGCTCTTCAAACACATGGGGGGTCCTGGGTAGCGGCGACCTTTCCCCACTGGGAGGCCAGTCTCGGCTTCCAGCAGGAACTCCCTGTCCGGGTCCTCCGCCGCCTCGAGTAGCGCGCGTATCAGGCGCAGATATAGCGGCTGCCCCGAGGCCACCTCCAGGATCTTCGGGTCCACGATCCCTCTCTTCTCTAGCCAGGAGGCCCAGAGCTCCCGCAGCTCCCCCAGGAAGGACTCGTTGGTAGCCAGGCGGATGCCCACTCCATCTCCTGCCACCATCCTGAACGCTTCCCTCTCTAGCTCCCACTCCGAGCTGAGCTTGCGGATAGCCAGATCTCTCATCTTATCGCGGAGGTCCTCCCAGTCGGCGCCCTCGGCGTAGCTCCTGTCGCCCTGCCTCCAGCGCCCGGGTGAGCATAGCCCTCCCCCATCATGGAAAGGCTTATTCACCCCTAGCTGTCTGCACGTCCTAGGGGGACCTCTTCCTCCGAGTAGCCGACGTCCATCTGGTTCTTTTAGAGAATCGTCGGGAGTCGCCTCTTGTGTAGCCGTGTGCTCCGTCCCCTCTCCAACGGCAGTCGAAGCAGGCACACACGTGGTCACCAGGAGGTCCGCTAGCCACGCGCACATAGCTGAGGGCCACTGCTCCAGGTACCCGCATTGTTCCGCGTAGCCATGGCTCCCACGCGCTGGCCCCTGAGCGGCCCTTCGTAGTCCCCCGCGGGTCCGAAGACCGGCGGACCCTCAAAAACAAAGTCCGGTAGCTGGACCGGGGTCTTAAGGAGGAGGCGGGTAGGCTTAGCATAAGAAACCCCAAAACTTGCCTGGTGGAAAGCCGCGGTCCGCAATCCCTGCCCAAGTAGCTTTTTGACATCGAGGCTGGCCGACTTCCTCGGTAGGGGCCCTTCTGTAGCTTGCCTAGGTCCTCCGGCTGCTCAAACGCGAGGAACTTGGTCGCTCCCTCTGCCACTACCGTAGCAACATCCCAAGCGAAGTCCGCGAAGATGGTGCCGAGCACAGCCTTCTCTTTCTGCTTGCCCCAGAGCTTCTGGTACCCTCGCGGGTGGGTATAGCTTCTCACTGGGCGTGGCCCCTTGAAGTTAGCCCACACCGCTCTGGAGAATGTGGAGCAGGGAGGCGACAGCAGGACCGCATCAAACTCCTCGGCCCGTAGCCGCTGCAGGAACTGCTCGCGTAGCCCAGGCCTCGAAAAGTCCATCTGCGGAGAGCGCCCGATGTCTACGCAGGTGACTGTAGCCGCGTAGCCCTTACGCTTCGCTTCTCGCTTGATGTGGTTCGTCATGTCTCCGTCCCGTGGTAGCCCTGCAAAGAGGTAGAGGACCTTGATGTGTCTAGCAGGCGGAGCAGGTCCCGGTTCCGCTGCATTTCCGGGGGACATAGCCGGCCCCCGGTCCGGCACCTCCGGCATGGTTCAGGCGGCCTTGTTGGCCTGGGGTAGCTCACCCCGCGTGTCCTTTGGCGGCTGCTTGCACTGGAAAAGGGGATGCTTAGCGTAGCATCGTCTGCACACGTGGGCAAACTTGCACTTCTGGCCCTTCTTGCAACCGCCCTTAGCCTGGTACTTGAAGCAGATTGGCTTGCCCTCGGGGGTGCGGCTAGGTAGCCCCGCGCCTTTGTCCCCTTTATCGCCCTTTCCCCCTCGACCACCTCCTTTAGGGGGGTTCTTCGTCTTGTTGGGGTCCTCTGTAGCGATAGCTGGGCTCCCTGGCACGTTCGGCCTCTTGCCATAGAGGGCTAGCGGAGTCGTGAAGTGGCGCTCCTTCACAGAGGGCTCCTTGTAGCTCTTGACGAGGGCCTCGCCAAAAGGCAGGCCGTGGTTAGCCATGAGCTTGTAAGCATGCTTTCGGATAGCATGCTCGTAGCTCAGCACCAGCGTCCACGGCGGGATCATACCACCGGCATCACCCCCGGCCCGGAGACCATAGCAGTAGTCCCCCAGCAAGTACTCCTTGTACTTCTCGAAGAGCGTCATCTGGACGTCTTTTAGCTCGGCCCGGCCGGGGTGTTTTCGCTTAATCATGATAAGCGCATTCTGAAGCACCGTAAGCCGTAGCCGTAGCTGCTCGGGCCCCGTGGGCATAGAGGTGGTGGACCCTCCCTTCTTCACGGATAGCTGGCCCTTGGCATTCCAAGTGGTGACTAGCACGTCGGGGTCCACCTCATCCCGACTGACGACCTCTGTCAGGGGCTCGGCGCGGAACTCCCCCGTTTCCAGTTCGTACAGCTTCTTCTCGATGTATTCCTTAGCAGGAATATGTTTGTCTTCTAGCTCTCCGAACTGGGAGGAGTACGCATTCCTCATGGCGATATAGTCCGATTGGGCTATCGGCTTCGCTAGCTGGAGAGTCTCATGGGTGGCCTCCACCTCTGCTTGGTTCTTCACCCTGGTAGCTGCGGTGTTCCAGGCCACTACCATGCTAGCTGCTTGCGCCCGGTTGGCCAGGCTAACAGCCGGGTCTAGTCCAAAACTATCCTTCAGGACGGTCTTCAGGTCGGCCTCCCCCGAAACGAAAGCTGCAAACTTAGCCAGGCTATTGATGCCGTTGTGGTACAGTTCTGCCTGGGTAGCACTAGCAACTCCGTGGCTTGTGAGGAGGAACCTGAGGTCTGAGGATCCCTTAGCCAGCTTCTCCTCTTCTGTGGGGGCCGGCGCAGGCGCAGCCATGCTGACTAGCGAAAGAAGGAGGACTAGGGAGCTGGGCCACAAAAATCTTCATAGCCAAAGTTTCCCCCCCCTTTTTTCCGCCAGCCTCTGTCTACTTCGGGCATCCTAGCGATTCGGTGGGGTCGTGGGGTCTAGTCGGCCCCCGCCGGGTCCACCCTTTGGCTTCCCCCCCAGCCCTCCCCCCCCTCCGACCTCCCCTGGCCCACTCTCCCCACACTCTCTCTCCGCTCCCTCTCTCGACCCTTGCTTGCGTCCGACTTTTTAGCGTTTTTAGCGGCAGGGGGCCGTGTCGTGGCTCCTGCTACCTAGCACTCGGCTGGTAGCGGCCTGTCAAAAAACCGTGCGCTCTCCTAGCGCTAGCCTACGGCAGAGGTCCTGCAGGCTAGCGGGCAGCGGCCTAGCACGACGTGGGTCTTTCAGGAGGTCCTCCCACTCGACGACCCTGTCGCCCGGATAGCGCCCCGAGACTATCCAAGAGGCTAGCCCAGTCGCAGGGTCCAGGCCAGGCGGTAGCAGCGACGGCACCATCTCCCCCTGGTCGTTGCGCATGTGGGGCTCTGCTGTGGGACCTGATAGCACGGCCTTGCCTGGGCCTCTGGGGGTTGGGCTCCGGCCATATCGAGTAGCCCCCCTCAGTGCTAGATTGCCCCGGCGTAGCCATAGCCGCCGACGAGGAGGTAGCCGTGGAAGTAGCCTGGCAATCCCATGGGCGCACCATTGGCCTCGCCGTCGCCTCCTCCTTCTCGAAGAATCCGGCCCAATCCACCTCCTTGTCGATTTTGTTCACGCTAGCCGCCCTTAGGCTAGCCGGTGGCGCCTTGGGCTCCGTGGGTGGTGGCGGAAGCGGAGGTGGCCCCGTGGTAGCTGTGGATGTAGCCGGAGGGCACCCAGCCGGTAGCTGCGGAGGAGGGGCCTTTCTGGGAGGGGGGTCCTTAGCGGGTACCCCCCCCCCCCGCCGCGCCGCCTCCTCCAGCCTTGTAGCCTCAGGCGATGGCTCCACTAGCACTGGAGGGGGAGCCTTAGGTGGAAAGGTCCCAGCCTCCCTAGCGACCGCCGCTAGCTTGTTGGCCAGCTCTGGGTTCTTTGCTAGCTGGGACCTCAGATCCTGCGTCCCTGCCTCAGTGGATAGCAGGTGTCGCACTTCGGCGACTAGCTCACCCACTGGCAGGTGCTCCCGGGCAACATAGCCTGTACCGGACATAGCTGAGGCGCGGAAGAGACTAGCTGAAAGGCTGGATAGCTGGGGGCTTGAGAGTGCTCCCAGTCACATGCCGGCCACCTTGCTGGTAGCAACTTTTGCTCAAATTTAGCCCTTCAGATAGCAGTCTCCCGTGGGGCACATGCCTCCCCAGCTTTAGCATGCACAAACCGGCACGCAGCTCTAGCGACATGCAAAACCGCCTTACAGCAACTGCCCTAGCTTGACTGTCCGGTCCCCTTGGGAGGCGTAGCGAGACCTGTACGGCGAACCCTCCCCCCTCACCGCTGGGTACCCACCCTAGCCTGGAGCCCTGGGGACCCGAGTTTCGCCTCATGGGGGCTCGCTTGGGAGGGCCCCGGGAAGGGACAGCGCGTAGCAGAAGAAAGGCACACAGAAGCCACAGCGTAGCAACACAGCGTGTCCCTCTGCTGCCTCTCTGTCTCTTGTTCTTTCTCCTAGCTTCCCCCACCCCCCCCTCCCCCCCTTGTCTCCCGTTTAGCGGAAGCGTTGTGGAAAAAAGGGGGAACTGGGGGACAAGAAGATGGGAGCTAGCTGCGAGCCCTAGCCGGGCCAACATTTTGCTGCGGTCGACTTGCGCATTAGCTGCACTCTTACTGCTGGGGAAATTGCCAGGCTGCCGCCGCAGCTTGTAGCTGCAGGCTAGCCCAGTCCGGATCCCAACCCCCCGTGTCCTGCCATGGCATGGGGGGTTGCACTCCTAGCTCCCCCTGGCCTTCTTCTACAGGCTGCCCTGGGGGGGGGATAGCTTCATCTCCCGACCCCGCAGCGGAGGCCTCGCTGAGCTCATCTTCACTAGCAGTAGCAGCTGCATGCGGCCAGCACAAACGGCACACGTGAGTATATTCGTGGCTAGCTGGCTTGTCTAGAAAATCGACAGAGTTACGGAAAAGCCTACGTCGACCCATCCAGCAGCCATAGCGTCCCGCCTTGTGGAGACGGAACTTAGCCCCGGGCAACTCGACGACCACATAGCTGGCCACCCGCTCGTGCACTCGAGCCTTCTTAGCAGCCACAGTAGCTGGGTCGCCCTCTGAGCCGCCATCCGAGTCACTAGCCACACTCGGGGGAACTGGAGCCGGGTTGTTCTCCAACGGTGGCACGTCTAGCAAGCCGTAGGGCTGGCGCAGGGGGGCGTTCTTCCACTGCAGAACTAGCGGCTCTATGATGACGGCGGCCGCATCCGAGGTCATCCTAGCCCTTTCCACCAACCACAGTTGTAGCTCATGGCCAATCTCGCGCTCGTCGAGCTCGACGTAGCGGTCCGGTGCCCTAGCTACCTGGGCGAACTGGGCCTGCAATCTGGCCACGCGACCCGCGAAGGATCTGGCGTAGATGTCGGAGCCTTCAGGTTTCCAGCGCCCTAGCAGGTCCTTGTCAGCCGGCTGGACATTGAGCAACGAGAGGCCCGTCGGTAGCACGGAGCGTTCACTGTGCTCCGTCCAGAACCCAAGCACCTGGCTAGGTAGCTTGAGGCAGTTGGCCAGGATGCCAGCTGTAGCCACCATGGCGTCTGCGTAGGCCGCTAGCTTGTCCTCCAGCACGCCGTTGGCGCCCAAGCGCGGGAGGAGGTAGTCCCGCTTGTAGCCGGCGAACTGCTTAAGGAGAGCGAAGCCCGTCTCTAGCCAGCGGTAGTCCACGAGGAACGCCCGCTCCGAGATGACGACGGGTAGCTCCTTTACCCTCCTAGTGGGGCCTGAGGTCTTAGTCTTACGTAAGATCGTAACCAAGCGGCCTTCCACCATAGCAAGCTCGGCTGGGATGATGGCCTGAAGATCCGACCATCTTAGCGAGCCCCATATCTTGAGGAGCTTAGCCCACGTCCAGATTCGCCATCCAACGGTTTGCCCATTATCCAGGACGACGGCCTCCATCTGGGCTAGCAAGTAGCTCGGATATCTGGGGGCTCGCTTGGTCAGGGGAGCTCCTTCAGCGAGTTGTTCTGCTAGCTTGTCCTTGGCCGCCCAGGCTAGACGCCCAAAGGTAGCTCGTTCCTCAGAAGGGAACTCCGCCACCTTCTCCATCCAAGCGATAGCTTTCAGTAGCGCCTCTGGAACTGTGCGGCCACAGGGTTCGTCACGCCTAGCCATGAGGTGGTCGACGAGGTCGATGGGCCTCCCAGGCGGAAGGCGTAGCTTAACCTCACCCAACCACAAGCGCCACTGTCGGAAGAGAGTGAGGTAGCGCTTCAGCGTGGACGTACGAGTGGAGCCCACCAGTAGCAGGACGGCTCTGTCCGGGTCCAGGCTGCCCTGTAGCTTGAGAAGGACGGGTGCATCAGCTGCCACGAGTTCCTCATGTAGCTTTTTGACCCAGATAGCCATCAGCTTCTCTCCCCTGGCTGCGGCTTCGGCCCCCGACTCAAGTAGTCGGCGTAGCTTTTCCCCTGGGGGAGGCGCAGGTTCGTGTAGCACGAACTTGGGCTGCTCCTTGACCTGCGCGGGCGGTTGAAGAGCTAGCCAGATGAGGTCGTCGTGCAGGTAGCCGGTGGCCCTCTTGAGGAGCTTGGACTCCTCCTTAGCCTCCTCTACCCACACCGCGATAGCATCGGCAATGTAGTCCCCCGGAGGGAGCTGCAAAACGTCAGCTAGCTGACTGCCCATGACGCGGTAGTCGGCCTCGTCCAGAGTAGCCAGTTGCAACGGCCCAAAACCTACCTGCTGAAGGTGAGTGTAGCACTGCTCTAAGCAGGTCCGTTGGCTCGGCTGCACCAGCTGCACTAGCGCATCACTCGAAGAAGAGGCCGCCATAGCAAGCGATATCACAGGATATCGTCTCTCGCTATCTAGCTCACTTGGAAGTTTTGCCCCCCCCGTGTTGACGGGGACTAGCCAGACATATCGGAAGGAATTCCTCAAGGCCATGCCACATTATAGCTTGCTCTTCGAGCTAGCTTTCTGTTCGTCCCTAATAAGCTAGCTGAGCGCTAGCACACGTCAACAAAGGCACATGTCCGCATGTAGCAAAACTGCACCTGTAACATGTCTGGACAAGAACTAGCTTCCGCAGGCTAACCGCCAGGGCGTTAGGGGGGAACACCTTCGATGTTCCCCCAAGAGCATCAAGAGCATCGGCTAGCATACACTGTCGTAACAAGTCACGAATGCGACTGCACCATACTGCACCTTTACAGCGGCCCTGATAAAGCGCTGAGTTCCGTACCACGCAGTGGCTGTGAGCATCCAGGTGGTGAATGGCCTTGTGATTGGAGGCGTTCTTGCTTCTGGCACTTGACTGCTGAAAATCACGCTCCTTCGGAAGAGCACCTGAGATTGGGGCCAATATCAGCGACTGGTGGCAGAAGGCCTAGTGCGGGTGGGGGTTGGGGGGGGCTAGTTACGACTCTGCTACTCCTTCAACCCCAAACCCGAAAGCCCTGCAAGGTCCCGAAACCCTGAACCCTCAAACGCCAAACCGCAACCGGAAGAGCAGCACAAGGTCCCAATACCCGGAACCTTAAAACCCGATTCGGGTTCAAATTTCAAGCTTTGGGGTCTTGAGCTTAGGGCTGAGGGTTTCCTGTGCTTGCCGTTTCGAGTTAAGGGTTGCGTGAGGAGCCAGGGTTGATACCTGTTTGGCGTCTCAGGCCAAGTCGCCTGCTCTGAACACAGAAGCAAACCTTGATTGAGCTTTGCGTGGGAACCCTGAATAGAGTCGAAGGCCCCTTACAGCTACACGGCAGCTTTCTACACCCTCGGTCGCCTTCAGCTTTGTCTGCACCAGACTCTTGGACTGCGCGTCCAGCGGGCCGAGAGCCTCTTAAACGTGATTGAGAAAGGTTGAAAGAACAGAAAACCGACTCGGAATCATTCCCAAGGGCTTATTCAAACAGCTTTAAGCACAGAAGTCCTCGTCTATCAAGAGGATGCGAGGGCATTCTTCTTGGAGAAAAATCTGTCTCACGAGCTCAGCCTGCAGGACACTCTCTCAAGATGTCCATCTCCTCAAAACCGCAGACAACACGGCGGGCCTTCGACCGTTGGCCACCAGACAGCTTCCCATACCAGTCATCCTTGACAGCCTTGTTTCTTTTGCTTCAAGTTGAGAATATCACAACTCGGCAATGGGTGGATCCTTGGTCCTGCACGCGAAGGTCAGAAACCAGGCTGTCAGCTGCTGCCTAAGCTGAGCTCAAAAAGCGCATAGAATCGGCGAACTAGGAGACCGGGAGGCGGGCCGGATTAAAGTCAAGCTCAGCCAGGAGATTTTGAACCTGATGCCAACATTTGGTCTTGAAGTTTGTCGACGGGCTCGCCCTGTCTACTCGCCCGAGCGCCCCGAGCGCGGAGCTCGCGACTCAAGGCTTGACACCTCCTTGGCACCAGGTTTGCTTGAACAAGGGGGCACTCGGTAGGTCACGAAGTTGAAGGGCCTCCTCCTGCATTGCCTTCAGGGAATGGTGCCTGAAGCAGGCAAGTTTGGAACAACCACTCAGGCATCTGCAGTGACAGTGCTTAGGCGAGCTCCCAGACATCCAGGCCAACGGCTCCGTGAACAAGGGGCCTTTCTTTGCCAGCATGACGCCCACGAGATTTGCTTGTTGGCTAATGACTTGCTCGCAACAAAATCTTGATCCTGTGCTTCGAACAATACAGCTTTTGTGGTATCTCGACAACCTCGTCCTGCCGAGTGTGTGTGTGTGTGGCACCGCCACCAGGAGCTTTAACTGGTCAGTAGCGGTCAGCAAAGAGACATTGTGCAGCGCCGTCCGATGGTAGGCTCACCCCAGACAAAGATGAGTTCTCCTCGGAGGGGTGATTGCAGGGTTCACTTCACGTGCAGGTGCTTCATGGCATGTAAGGTACGTATATTGGGATGCACTACGCCGCGTACGCCCCAGGCACCCAAGGGCATCTCAAGGGTAATGGAGTTCACCGGAGTTCAAACGGCTCAGCTGTCGCCAAGAAATCAAACAGAAAAACACTGGGGTGAAATTGGAGTCGGCCGTCACGAACAGATCGAAACTCAGGCATCGGACACGGGGTTGTTTGGCAGGTTTCGGGTTGAACAATGCAAGCAAACGGGTATCAAAAACTCGGCTGCCGCCCGGGCAGAGCCGCTTGCCAGCGAATTTTGACTCCAGTTGGCTCCATTTCAACAGATCAACTTAAACCTACCTCGCGGAGAGTGCACCAAGGCCGGCCTGTCGGTTTGCTGTTCGCTCGCTGGTGTCTCCGATCCTTCTTTGTTATAGTCTCGTCCACAGACGTACGCAGCGTATGCAGCGTCGCAAGAGTTGGCCCGTGTGGCTGTGGACACGTGTCTACAATTCTTGAGCGAGACTTCTCCTGTACCATGCCGATCCACGGCGGCCAGCGGCCTGATAGCTTCAGGCCTGTTGATTTATTCTGCGAGCACCCCTTCTAAAAACAGGGGGATATCGTTTTTGTTGCCGGGGGGGGGGGGGGGAAATTTCCTGCTGCGCAGCACATGCACCCGTGTAAGGCTGGAGCCATGTACAGCTCGATCCCGGCAGGCAGCTCTGGCTGATGCCTGCCTCAGAAATCTCAGAAAACAAACATAGACCTAGCAAACTCCCCCAACCCTTATCAACTCGTAAACGGACTCGACACATGACCAAGGCACGAGCCGCATGCAGACAACACGCCAAACAAGGTGCTCTTGCCGCAACCATTGCATCCTGTCGAAAGACTCTGTGTCAGTGTCGGGACCCAAATGCCAACGAAGTCCTTCGCACTGCGCTGTGTCTTATGCCATTTTGCTTGGCTCTCTTTTTCTCCGGTCAGATGGGATCGTGAAAGCTGCATCCTGGCAGCTCCTCCACCTGCTCCGTGTCAATCCGTGGCAAGAGCAGATGCGCTTGGGTCCCATATCCCGGATAGGAGGTCACTGACAGATTTCCTCCAAGATACCGCGCATAAAGCCGGGCACAGGGCAGCCCAACTCCATATCCAGACAGCAAATCTTCTTCTGTGCTTTCTGCGCTTTGGCTACCACCCGGTTGAACTTTGGCCTGCTTCATTTTAGCAGCAGTCCCGTACATGTAGGACCAGATGCGGTCACCAACCTCAAATGGAATTCCACCTGCTTCATCACTCACCAGGATTGCAACTTGATGCTCATCACGGCACACCCGAATGTGAACTGGGCGCCTGTTAATGTCCTCAATACCGGAAGATGTCATGAGCGTTGCTCGGAAGCTGTTCTTCAGAAGCTCACACATGATGTATCTGAGGTAGCTAGGAATGTAGCTGAAGTGGCACGGGGAGTTCTCTTGCGGCCCAATCTCACCAGCCTTTCCAGGCTTTCAACTCAGATGCAAGGAAGGGAAGTGCAACATAGAGTTGAAGGACTGTGGGCTTTATGCAAGGACTTCTGGCAACAGGAACGCGGCTACCTAAGCTGCCCGACCTTGCCTTGAAGTCCTCCACAGTGTACTTCGGCTCGCGGCCGAAGCGCTGGTAGCACAGGTAGGCTGACATTTGCGCAGCATGCTCGCAGACCTTCGTTGCGTTGCAGCCTGGCAGAGCTCGGGCAAATCCCTTTTCAGTACCGCATTCGAGACCGGATGGGCATCGGCTTACGAGTAGCTTCTACTCAGGCTTCAATAGGCTCCACGTCGCCACGTGGCGGTTAACTAAGGTCCGCACGCGGATCTGTAATGCCGGTCGGGCGGGCCAAGCCTCCATCTTGCTTGCTTGCAATCGCCACGAACTGATCAAAAAGCGCATTCGTTCCAATCCTTAGAGATGAGTCTGGACCCGAGTCTCAGAGCATGGTTGAGTAAGAAGGTAATCTTTATGAAGATTCTTGAGCTTCAACCGAAGCTCCTGGAAAGCAGGAACCCATCAAGCCACCGATCCAAGAAGTTGGTGTCTTGCTGCTTCTGCTTCTTCATTTTGTGTAGCTTGTAGATGCCGGAGGCTGAGACGGCAATAACATCTCGGCCTTCGTCCCGTATTGACTTCAGCGTCTTGGTGAGGTGCCCGCAGTCCTGCGTACTGTAGTTCAGCAACACCAACTCCCGGTACCACCTCGTCAATCTGTGATGGAGCTTCGCTAGCTCGGGAATGTCCTGCAGGGCCATGTGTGTGTAGCCAGAATCAACCTGGTTCATAGCAAGTGTACAGAATGCAGCTGATCTGTGCCCGCTCTCCTGCCAGCCTTCTAAGGTCTCAATGAGACGTATCCGCAGCGCAAACCGTTTTGGAATTTCCGTCTGGATGAATGGGATCATGTCGCGTGTATCACACCAGGTCACAATCTGAGCGGGTTACACACATGCAGACACAGAGACCAACTCCTCAACTGTTCCTGTCAAAGTGTTGGAGTGCTAGCAGTAGCAGTAAGTTAGCAATGTGAAACCCTTGCGGCGCCACGGAGCCTGGCGCATGCTAACAGGCTGAACGGGGACCGAAGCGAGGAAGGACACTTCTGCCGACACGAGCTCGCGGAATCGTTCCTCAGGCACGGCCACCAATTGCCTCAAGGGCGCGCTCACGGGACGCACTTCGTCAAGATGCAGTGCGCCACCTTCGCTTTTCTACCAATCACTTGTCGCAGGCCTGGCATCTTCGCCGACTTGAGAGACTTTACTGCGCAAGCTCATCCTGAGGAGCGGGGCCGCGGCTCCTGGGACGGATGCTTTGCAGGGAACGCACTGAAGGAAGCAACCCGCCACACTCTGCCCTGACCGTACTGTGGCATGTCATCTTGAACGTGCAGATCATGAGTCTCTGGTCTTGTGATCATGCCGCGGTCGGCTGACAGCAAGGTTCTGCAAAAACATCCGGAGAAATTCGTGGGGATGACTCCTGTTTCGATGTTTATTGCTTCTGTTTCAATTCTTTCGAGCACCCGGGTTGACTTGAACATGTCTTTCAGGTTCTCCTGCTTGAACAAGTAAAAAACAATTGGCCCACTTGCCCTGGCATTCGGAGCAAACTTCCCGGGCGGGCTGGAATAGGCGCGTGACCCCCTTGAGCCTGCTTTTGGAGCAAGCTTCCTATACGTGCCGTGCAACATCTGGGTGTCCAGGCTTTGGGAAGGCCTAGTCCCATTGGAGTGTACGGCTTCAAGCTCCGCAAGAGGTACGAAAATAAGATGGTGGGAGTTCTCACAACTTGCAAGGCCAGGTTAGCACGAGTCCGCATGACTGAAACAAGCAATCGGGGAATCTGAGCGCAACAACGAACTTGGATTGAATTGCAAGAAGAGGTACAGAAAAAAAACTGGTCATCTACTTGGTCATCTCCACCTTGAGCTTATGGTTTCAGATTAATTGAGGGTTTGGCATTGGGCCTTAATATGCCTTAACCCCATCCCCTCACCGGGCCTGTGCCGGTTCGGCATGCTCTGCAGATCCACAGTGCCATAGGGAAACCCTAACGCCAGCAAACCGCTGGGCCGAATACACCCATGTCGCCTGTGGCAACGGTCTCCATGCCCATCACTTCGCAGTCTTTGGCGAGTGAGAAGGCTTTTAAGCTTGAGGCTTAGGACCCCGGACTGGTTTAAGGTTTGGGGCTGAGGGCTTAAGGTACTCTGCTGCCGTGTAGTAGGTGCTGATGCTGGTGAAGCGCAAGGGTGACTTATGAACTCCTGTCGGCTGCTGCAATCCCACAATGCATGATCCGGGGGTGAAAGCTTGACCCAGTATGCAGCCAAAATTCGCTTGTCCTTGCTCAAACTCATTGGAAACCCAAGCATGAATTGCCACCACTCGTCGGGCCTGTAACGGCGAAGGCTTTCCCAGCCTCGACAGGCTTTGAGCACGACGTCGGATTTAGAATTTGGTTCTAGGGTACAGGCATGCCAACGCAACGCAAGGAAATGCTGGACGCAGCTGGGCAAGCCTCCAGAAGCACGTTTTCAAGCCTCACCTGCATCAAGGGGAACAAGCCCGCGATTGCTTCGCATGGCTCAACTGAAGGCTGAAGGAAGGGTGCCTGCAGTTGCGACCCACGGCTGTAGCTGAGATTCTTCACCTTGCAGTCTCGGGCCCGCGATCTCTACCTAGATAAGGCCGACTACTACAGTAGGTGCCCGCCCCAAGTCAACCTACGCAGACAAAAGGCATCTCGCCCCAAGTACCTGTCTGATTCTGCAAAAGGCAACCCATGCAAAAGGCGACCCATCGAAAGCCAGTCCTCGTTGTCACGCCCTTGCCAGGCTACTCTTGCAACATGGCTAAAGCAAGCGAAATGTGCGCGAGACTTAGCGCAGAAAACCGCAAGCACAGGTTTCCCAACTAATAAAAAAACATCATGATGGCTTTGTGCTCTGTGTTCTGTCATCCAAGGCCCCTGTAAAGATTGGAACAAGCATATAGCCATACAGCAACTAAACTAGCCGCCATATCCTGAACCTTACATGTCCCAACGCCAAAATAGATAGCATACTAGAGAAGAACATTGCGACACCTTCGTGAGATGCCCACATGTCACAAAGATAACGAGGCCAAAAGGGTCCGCATACTAGAGGACTGCAGTGCGACGACGTCGCGCACATGCACAAGGCCCCAAGTCAAGCACCAAGTGCCAATTTCAAGCAAGCGTCCTGTATTGCTGACGTTTCAGCTTCCACCTCAGCTCACTTGCTCCGGTTTAGATTCTCAAGCCCTCTGTGATCTGATGTACTCCCAAGCGCTGGTCATGACATGGGCAACAAAGCGCAGCAGGGCGACGTTGCATCGCAGCCTTGTGCGATTCGTCAGCCTGCTGGCCAGGGCCTGCAGGAGTCAAACTCTGCTTAGTGACTTGACACGAGCAAAATTCGGCCTGCAGCCGCTCCACATTGGTCTTCAGATTGGCCAACGCGGCCTGGCAGAAGCCCATGAGGGTTAAAAAGAAAAGTCCTTGAACCCTTTTGATCGACATGCATCGCTGTTTTGAATGAGGATGGGTAATCCTTGCTGGCAAGGCGCCGCAGAGGCTACGATGTCTACAAGCACTGAAAGCGAGAAGGGGCGGAGTCCAAAGAGCATGTGGTCTCAAGTCCAGGAGTGTCAATCAGCTTCGTAACTAAATTATATATATGTTTTTTTTTTAGGTTCTCAGGTGCGTAGATTGCCGGCTCGCCTCCTTTCGATAGCGAACCAGTAAAGTGTTCTGGGCATCCTGCAACACGCAAATGGGCACCGCGCAGTGAATTGTGACCGATGTGTAGCCGATGCCTAGAAGCTACCAGGCCAGATCAGGCCAGGACAGGACTCGAAACGTCGTTTAACGCACTCTATCCTCTCGTGTCAGGCAACATATCTTGCAAAAGGCACCGAACAAAAGAGAACAATTAAATATATGTATATACATATATATATATATATATATATCTGTATATATATATATCTATATTTTTATGTTTATATTTATGTATATACATATGTGTATATACATATATGATAGATATATATGATATATATATATATATATATTCGAGTGTTGTTCGTCTATGCTTCTCCACAAGTTTCCCCTCAGCTGAAAGTACCGAAAAAATCCATAAATGTCCATAACTTAGAAAAGCCCTTGCATGCATTTGGGATTGTGGTCGGTTTGGGGGTCAAAAGGCCAAGAGTGCCAAAAACCTGCCAGTGGCTAAGGTCTTTGTTGGCATCATATTAAGGTTTCAGCCTGAGGGCCCAAAACCTTACGAACATGAGGGCTCCAGCGTCCTGGACATTGGTGGGCCCTCCAGAACGGTTGAAAATCATGCACCTTTGAGGGACTCCGCGCCTTCTAGCACGATCTTTGTGTGGACTGCGAGAAGCACACAGAACGCAGATGCCTTTTGAGTCACACCCGAAGCTCGCAAACATCATGCGAGCCGTCTCTTGCAACAGATGCCCGGTGCACGCGCGACCCCGGCTGACCCCTTAAAGCACGTTCAATCGTTGAAGCTGTTCTGTCATCCACATCTCGCCCTTCCTATCGGACTGCGAGGAAGAGGGCAAATGGTTATAAAGTTTACCAGGGAAGGTCTTGAGCTCCTTCTCCAAAATGGCAAACTTCACAGCCTGCGGGGTGCAACGCACAGCTTGGGCCAGAAACGGCCACATGCTTTTCAGGACCTCCGGCGCTGGCATTGCCATAGACGGAACGCCTGCTTGTCTAATGATCAGGGGCCAGAAGTCCGCCAAATGCTGCACGCAGTCCTTGTCGGTCAGGACGTGCAACTGATGAATGTTTTGCGCAAGGTCCGTTTTCATGATATCGAGGCATTGCTTTGTCCGCCTGGGCAGCCCATATTTCACTGCAAACTGGAGGGCCGGGCCATCCACAGGGGCCCCCATCAGAAACTCATCGCATTTGGCCTTCAGAGGGTCGACCTGATACTCATCCGCCCACTGGGTGAGGAAACGGGCGGTCTCTTTGGTGAGAGGTTCCATGCTGCAAAGTTGCAGGGATTTATAAAATGTCTCCAGCTCACGTTTGCGCTTACCCGGCAAATCAATTGTTGCCCCATAGCCTTCTTTCATGGAGCTGTTGAGCATGCTCGCAAAGACGGGAGAGGCAAGCTCCAGAATGAGTGAGTGTACTTCCAACTCTCCATCATCAACTGTAATCTTCAAGTCTGGTCCAACCCTTGCTCTCTTGGTTGGAAGCTCCTGCGAATCCATGGCTGTAGCCATGGGTGCTACGTTGTTTCCAACGCTACTTAGACGTAGTCTAGTACTAAGTGCCACTTCATGTGCAGCAACGCACTTCCCTCAGACAGGATTCGCTGAATGAATCCATGGTTTGCTTTGTTCTTGTCAGAGCTGCCACTCTTCATCAGTATCGATTGGGCTTCTCCTCTGGAGTACTGCGCCTCACACCTTTGAGGCAATCTAGCTTGACGGCAAGAACCACAATATGGCTTTCAGCTTGGCACATAGAAATGGCCAGGACAACGGCCATTTCTGGAGCCTCTAGTGCAACAACAAAAGCTTCATGTTTCTGCGAGATGTTCCTCGACAACTCGAGTGTACACCCAAATGTCCACAGCTGTGATCTGCTGGAACCTCATTTCTTGCAAAGTTTGAGCATCATCTTTGCAATCAGAAGGATCAGTCTTCCGCAGATCATTTTGGCACGAAGCCAGCTTAGACCAGAACTGTAGAAGGTATGCAATTGCAATCTCAATGCCAGGAGCCACAAAGTCCTGCACAGATGAGGCAGCCCTTCATGATGTTGCCATCATGCGTGAAAGTGTGCAGACCTTGCCGTCCTGAATATACAGGTGGTCAACGAAGCCTTTGACAAGTCTCAGAGCCTAAGCAAAGCAAAAAGGCATCGCAAAAAAACGGAAAGAAGCCGCCGCAAGCAGTGTGGACCACATATTTCGGCCTGCTGCCGCAAAAACTTGTCCTGCAGCTGCGAGGCCCTCAACCGCCACTGCACCTCCACAAGGCACGGTGAAGCTCTGAGTGGCTAGGCCTGCATGTGGGCCTCGGTGAAATGAGAAGCCCCGACCTCTGGTGATCAACGTGCAGATCACAATACGGAGCTCACATTGGCACAAGCGATTCTTTCAACAGATTCGAGCGTCCAGCCCGCTGAATCACCTCCGCATTCTGCGTGTCATGCTGCCTTAGGCATGCAAGTCTCGACTCTCGACGCGTGTACCCGGGTGCACTCGGACTCGGATTCCCTGAAAATCAAGGGCTCTACTCCATGTTGCTGCGTCTAGAAGCAAGCTCTTGGAGTTCACGGCCAATCTTCTCAATTCGGCCTGCGCACCATCAGGCCGTTAAGCAAGAAGCTTGTTCTAGACCAAAAGCCTGCTATGGGCGTGGCCTGTGAGATGCGCCATGGCTTTTGCTCTAACAAAGTCGAGGCCTGCGCTGCAAGGAGGCTACTCAGTGATGATGAGGTGATGTGCGATGTGGTGAGGGCACCGATATTTCCAGGCAGAACAAGCAGCAAAAGCCACGGCTGACCTTGCGGATTGCAATCGATATCAAACTGCATCCATCCGCAAGCTACCCCATATCCGATGCGCGCACATCTGAATTCCTTGAGTGGTAAGGCGTCTGCTCACCAGTATTCCCGGCAGCAGTGCCAACTTCGGGACCGAGAAGAGCATGCGGTCGATGATGCCATGTCCAGCTGCAGCTTGACAGCATTTATGTGTTTATGGCATAACTTGTCCAGGTTCCAGAAACAAGAAGCCACGTTGGCATTTGGAGTAGGTGACATCTGCTGACCAAATTCTGCGAGCCACTTGGGCTCTTGCAGACACGACAAGCAGCGGACAAACTAGCTGAGTGACCCGCTTCGCACGATGCTGCTGATCTCACCAGCATAGACGTCAACCTCGATGACAAGGACAAAGAATCAGGAAAGCGCAACATGTCCAACAAATAACACTCTGCACGGGAGGCGCTCAATGGTGGGAAGCTTCAGCAAGACTTTGCCTGTGTGTTAAGAAGAGATGCATCTTAGCCCCCGGCGGTGAGGTTGGACGATGCCACTGCAGACAGCCTTCTTGCTTCCACCCATAGTTGAGTCAGCACAAAGTGGCATAGCACCCACATCCCCAAGCCCAGGACAAGCTGGTGCGCTGTCCGCTTTGGCCGGCCACCTCGGATCTTCTACATTCGACATGACCTGTCGCAATATCTCCTCTGATTTCTATTGCAGAGTCATCACAATGTGTCACAGGAGCCGGCGGATGGGAAGAGGCTTTCAATGCGCAGCCCTGCTGTTGTGGCGGGCAAGAGAAGGCGCAAAGGTGCCGAAACGGAGTTTCCGGTCCTGTCTCGACCAAGTTGGCAAAGCGGGAGAAGATGAAGTCACTCAAATTTTCCATCAAGATTCGCTGAAGCCTCAGGAAGGCTCAGCGAAACAAATGCACCCGCAAGTTCGTGGAAAGTGTATCGAAAACGTCCAAATGCGAAACAGTCACGAGTGTGCGACGCAGTCGACTTCGAATGATTGACAAGTGAGCAAAAACCGAAAGGCTGCTCTCGAGCCGTGGACAAGTAAGGGACTGCCACAAAGACCATGAACTGCACTGCCTCAAGTACGCAGGAGAGATGCAAGTGCTAGCTCAGCTACAGCCGTTCTCGACACATGTGCCTTCGATTGTGCTTGGGCCCTGGCATGTCCGACGAATGTACGGCACGCTGTTCTCTCGCCCTGGCTTTGCATGACTTTGCATATACTTGAAGACCTTGCTTGATTCTCATCTGATGCTCGCCCCCGAATATCCCCTTAGTATCACCCCCCATGCTCCGACACAGAAGCCAGGGTACCTCTGCCCGACTTCTGTCGACAGTGAGTAGGACATTTTTCCGTGCCTCCAGGCAGAAGCTAAAGTGCAAAAAGCTAACCGCGAGTCGAGGAGCTCTCCCTTACTCACTGTCGTTCTTATCTTATCTTCCTCCTACCTTTCGTTTATGTCTTATGTTTCTTTCAATGGGCTTGGGCCAAAGATTCACCTCGACAGGCGACGAAGCCGCACCAGAGAAAGTTGGCTAAGGGTGGACACGTCAGAGATCTGCAAGGTCACATTCGTGCAACAACTGAGCCCTGCCTAACCGCCTCTCTTCTTCTTTTTCAAGGAGCTTGAGTCAGGGTGTGGGTCATCCTATTCTGGGAAGGTGTCAACATCAAACTTCACGGTCCTGCGACTGTCGCAGCACGTAGACGCCTGCGTATCCAAGAGCCACCTCGAACGACATTGAAGGCCATAATGTGCAGATGCTGAGGGAAAAAAGCAAAATCAGAGCCGTTGGATAGAGGCTAATTAGAAGTGATTCTTAGGAAGGGCGCCGCACCTGCCCTTGAATGGTTGTGACCAGTAGCTCCGCAGACGCCTTACCTGGGACGCTTGACACTCGCCGCATAGAAATTTAACAATCGTTCGTTGTTGAGCCGCGTCTAAGTCTAGAAAAGCCCAGGCCTAAGCAGAAAGCACAGCTGATGAGGCTGGCGCGCAGCACGCCAGGTGGCAAGAACGGCTCTGCAACCTATCCCCGAAGTATCAACGTGGTACCACCGTGGTTCTTACTCGGCACATCGCACTTTCGTGACTCAGCCAAGGCTTGTGCCATGAAAGCTTCGTGCAGTTCTCGGATTGGGAACAGCTGGAGTGCGACAGCGGGAGCCTGAATCCATGAATCCGGCAGAGTTGCTTTGGAGTAGATGGCTGACACGTCTCAGGCTGAAGCGAGCAGGAAGCCCGCCACGAAACCTGCCACAGCCGCGCCTCCGTGTGAAACACATTTGGACCAAGCTCTTTCGCTGTGCGAGTTCTAAGAGCCTGTGAGCTCCAAAAATCCTGCGTGCTTTTCGCACAACATGAGAGCCGCTGCCTGGCATCAGCCAAGCCTGGGATCCCAAGTGCGTCGATAGCCTGTTACATTGTTGCACGTTCGGCACCGTATGACCATGGCACAGGCTACGTGTTTGTTTTCGCGTGCACCTCGCAAAGACCCACGAAATCGCGGCACCTGAAACCTTTGTGGTTGCAAGGCGCGGCCAGCATGAGCCAGCTATGAACTTTAGCAGCCTCAGCAAAATCTGAGGGTAGGGTCCCCAGCCACCTGCAGCAATTGCACGTGAAAGCCAGCATCGCAAGCCTCGTGGACGGCACCAACTGAATTGCAATCGTCGGGGATATCTACGGAAATATGTTTGCTGCAATTTGCTGGATTGGGATCGGACAAGTGCAACAGTTGCGGCAGTCAGCGATGCCGTCGCTGCAGCTGCAGCGAGCAAGAGCGCGACGTTCCTGGCAGCTCTGGACTCTGCAAGCCTGGAGCAACCTGGAGCAACTGCACCTGCGCACCTCCAAGGCCGTACTGCGACATACGAGAATACCTGCGCTCAGGCTCACGTCAAGGAAGCCAGCTGTCATGCTATGGGCCGTATGGGCCGACGTGTCCAACATGCGAGCGGAACAGCTGTAAGCTGTGCAGACATTTTGCAAAGACTCTTCTGCTGCTACCGGCGGTGGCTTCGTTTATGGATCATCGCGGTAGTCAGCGATGATTCTGCACTTGGCAATGAACACCCGACTTCTCAAGTCGTCACGAGTTCTCAACACATCTCGACCGACACATCTCGACAGCGCTCCGCAGAGTTCCAAAATACTTCTGAGCGTTTCCAGTTCCCTGTGTTCCGCTATGTCCATCGCGTCCTTCACAGATAACATCGGATAGCAGCTTTTCCAGCTTGGTGCGTTGCTCGTCACCCGCCTGGGCCAGGCTGCTAGATGCTGTTCTGCAATGTTGGCGGCTTGGTACAAACCATGAGAGCTGGAGTCTGTCAAAGTCGGAAAGATGGCAGCGACCACCACCAGCCACGAAACAACATCCTTGCAGGGTGGAGACTCGCACCCCCCTGTCACGGCATGCTACGACTGCTACGAGTCTCGCCATGCGACTACTGACTGGATTGCAGCAATCCTTGCGACAGACATGGCCACCCAAAGCGAGATGCCAGACATGGCTGCCAGGCTTAAGGCGAGCCTGGGAGAGCCTTAGACTCGCAGAGAGACATCTTCTACCACCCGTGGCTCACCAGTGTTCGAAGAACATGCTTTGCCAGTGTTTGACCATACTTCATTGCGCGCTTGGCAGCTGGTGGCAAAGCTGAAGGTCCACCTGCAGGACGTGCGCACCTTCGCAGAGTCTCGCACCATGTCGCACCCAACTGCCGCACCGCAAGAAAAAAGATACTCTCGAGAGATACTCACATTGCCTGCTTACCACTTTGCGAGTTCGAGCACAGCATGGCCACTCAGGCTGAGGCCAGAAACCATGTCCAAGTGTCGGCGAGTCCTTTAAACATCGGCTGGTTTGGCGAGGCAGCGCATGAAATGTGCTCTCATTCTAGGGGTTTATGTGACGGCTCCTCCTTGTACACGTGGCAACCAGAACTGATGACCCCAAGAGGTTCCTTCTGTCGCCACTTCCTCGCAAAGCACACATGACTAACAGACGCACGTACGGGTTCCCCATCAAAGCTGTGAACTAGAGAGCAGTCCTGGACAGGTCTCTGCTGCACTTCGGCGAAGAGCTCGAAGACCGGCTGCCCACCTCACAGGATCTCAGGGCAATACGTCAATTTAGGGTTTAGGGTTTAGGGTTTAGGGTTACAGTTTAGGGTCTAGGCTTTAGGGGAGGGCGAATTGTCAAATGGCATCACAGTGAGGGGAGCACCTATGGCCAAAGGCAGCCAGCCATGCTGGCATCGAATCCAGCTGCCCAGCCGCTCCTGACTCAAAGATCTTGGAAGCAGCTGCAGCTTTAGACCTCGAACCATTGAAGAACGCTTCTCGATTTCTGGCTGTCCTTCACATTCACGACTTCTTGGAAGACGGGTCCCATAATTGTCGGCTCACGATCCTCCGACGGGCAGCAAATATTTGAAACGAATGCCCTCCGCCTTTACCTAAGTGAGTTCCTGAACACCGTGCTTGCGTGAACCTCTTCGGCTAGATGGATGGCAACAGGGCCCTTTGCTGAGCTCCTCCAGATTTGGAGTCTTTCTGTAGGCCACCCCCTGGCAGGGTGCCGTGGATGAGACACTGGCTACAGTACAAATTCACGCAGCGGGCCTGCGAAGAGACACAGCGCGCACGCAGGGCACCATCCACGAACTGGCAGTACAGGCAGATCGAACTTGAGACCCGGAGATTCCTAGTGCGCAATCACCTCGAAGACGCTGTAGTCATTCAAGCGCAAGGGGAGCCATCCCTTCGCGCATCGTGCCCACTGACCTTTGCAAAGTGCACAGCACACAACGCTTGTCAAATCCGTCGTGTCATTGTGCTACGAAGTCGTATTCACTTACACAGATCTCTGCAGGATGGCGCATGTATGCGCATGTGATCATCAGAGATATCAGTGCAGAGACATTACAAATGCAGATTTCAAGAGGGCCTTGTATCAGCTCCGCCGGCAAGATGTCATCGTAGGAGGGGCCAGCATAGCTTCCTGCCAATGAATCTGCAGCCCGCTTTGCAATCAGTCCAGATTGCATTGGGCGTCTAACTTGACTTGGATGTATGCAGTTCTGTTAGCGCGCTTGGTGCTACCAAGCCTTCACGATCCATCAGATTCGGTGACCTGCCGAGCCCAACAACTGCAACAGCTGCGCAACTCACACCTGAAAGATTTGAATCATTTGCTGTGACCGTGTTGTGAGCCGCCCGCCTGCGATAAGCCACTCCCTGCCCAAATCCAACAACACAAGAGTCAGAAGTGGCAGGAGACAGCGCCACCGCTCAGAAAGAGTAGCTTGCTGCTTTGCCTGGTGGCTCACACAGCGCAGAAGCTTGCAGTCGTACGAGTCGCAAGAGTAGTTCGGAGCGAAGCTTCCTCCAAAAAAGCGAGCTGCAAGGTTATTATGTTATTATGGGCCATGCCGGAAGTTTGCTAGACGGCAATGCTCTCGCAGCTCTAGCAGCTCTACGCGAATGGCCCAGCAAATGAAGCGATCTTGTGATCTCAGAGGCTTTAGCACTTGAGCATAGCTTGTGCAGGAAAAGGATTACTTTCACTGGGCTGCGACGGTAGACAATTGACATTGCAACATCTTGCCGAGGCCAAATCGCTGACCATTGGAACACGTCGGTTCGAGCAGGTGGGGGCATCAACCCATCAACCCGCAAACGTCAGGAGACACTGCCCAATCCGCCGCCTCACATATGACACATTCCAGCAGTGGAAACCAGCAGTACGCTAAGTGACACCCGCAAGCTTTCGGTGTACAGACAAAACTACACCGTCCTTGTGCCATGTCATATTATATGTCATGGCACCACGAAAACTCGCAAGGACCCATTCTTGGGCCAACGAGCACCGTGTCGTATGTTTGCCATCGGCCAGCCGTCCTTGCGAAGCGGTTGTTGCACCAGCTGCTGCCGTTGAAGGCCTGCGGCTGCATGGCCAACAGCAACCAGGGTACTTAGGGTGCAGGGTCTTTGAGGCATACACGGACATTTACAGATCATCCATTTGATCAGCTTGAGCTGCACTAGGGACTTGAGGGGAGTGAGGTATCCTGCATTGAACCCGAGGTCCCGAATTCCTACTTCCTACTCAGGACCGGATGAACCGAATGGATCCAAGATGCAAAGGAACTGCAGCAACCCTACTGGCAAAGGGTCTATAGGGTTTAGAGCGAGGTGCTTCTTCGGCTTATTTTGCATTGAAAGCATGCAGCAACAGTCGCAGCATGAGCGTCAAAGGAGTGCCGCTGTGATGTAAAAGTCTGGTGTGAACTTCGTCTTGCTGCACCATCTGCCACGATGCCGTGGAAAAAAATCCATGTAGAAGTCTTGACATTGAAATGCTGGAAGGGTCAATCAAGCATTCTCCCGGCTGGCAGCAAAACTGGACTCAGTACGGTGGCAGTCGCTTGGCGAGGTGCTGAAACATGAAACCATTGAACAGGGGGAAGGCTTTGTCACCCCTTATAAGTCTTACTCAGTAGCCAATAACCCGACATCGCTCATTCGAGCTTCGGGGCGCGCAGCTGCAGCGGCTGGAACCCTGACTTGGAGCCTGTTGTCCTTACAGCCAAACAGATACCCACGGCACGGTGCAGCTGAGGCACGCGCCTTTGTCGATCCATCGTACCATGACAGTCGTCGCCGAATGTCCTGAATACCTGGCCATGTTGGAAGCTTCCATGCTTCCATAAGCTTCCGAACTTCCGTGACGTCGCATGGACACAACACCACGTGCAACATGCTGCATCATGCTGCGAAATGCTGTGACGTGGCGCCTCGCCTTCACTTCCAGCTCCAATTCTGCCAGGATTTGCCCTGGCCGCCCTGGCCCTTGCCATTTCCTTTGCTGGAGCTCTTGCCCTTGCCTTTCCCCTTGCCTTTGCCCTTGCCCTTCCCCTTGCCCGTGTTGGGCTTGGGGAGAAGCGTTGGGAGCTCCTCAGCGTCGCTAGGAAGCCACGAATTCGGAAGAGCCGTTGGGGTTTCCGATAGGTCCGCCCACGAGGGCTTTGTAGGCTTTGTGGGCTTTGCGGGCTTGGCAGGCTTTTCTGTGGGTGATGGGGGCGTGGGTGCTGTCACGGGGGGCGGTGGTAGGGAGGATTGAAGCGCCATATGCTGGGGGAGTTGAGGGGCCAGTTGTGGGGGCTGATGTGGGGGAGGCACTTGTGCCGGTGGCAAATACATCACACTTTGCGGCATCATCGCTGGGGTGCCGCACCACGGCTCTGTCTGGTGGGGCATGGTGTGTGCGGGCACGTGTGGGGTGCAAAACAACGGCACTGTTGGGTGGGCAATGGTCATAGGAGTCATAGGCTGATAGCTCAAGCCCATGATGCTCTGCCATTGCTGGCAGGGATGGACCTGCACCGCTTGTATACGAACCGGCTGCGGGGGCCAGGGCGCCAGCGGGTGTGCAACGTGTGCCCACCACTCGGGTGGGGGTGCCAGCCCTCCACGGTAGTGAGGGCCGTAAACAGCTTGCTCGCCCACAAAGGCCGGCGGCAGCTGTACCACCGGCTGCGCATCAGCCATGATGAAGCTGGTGGCTCGCGGCCGTTGCTACTAAAAGCTGCTGAGCCACTGGTGAGAGACAAACGAAGTGGGCACATCAAGGCTTACTCTGGTGACTTGCAGACAACTCTCACTTCGCTTCGCTCTCGGATGCACCCATGACAATCCGCAAGCTCCCTTCAAGCTGTCCCTGTTTCACCCTGGCCTCGGCTTCGAGGTCGGCTGATTCGGCTGTCGGTAGGTCTGAGAGACCCTACAACCAGAGCGCGAATTCAAGCGTTTCAGCTGCCTTTGAATTGTGGGAAGAAGCTCAAGCAGGTGAAAAGGTCGAGGATGGCCTTGTTTGGATGCAAGCAGAGAGCCCATCATGAGAAATCCGGTCCTGACAGAAAGACAGATCAGCTCTCTTCGACTCTCTCCTTCCCGAGTCTAACAGATCCGGTGGGCCTGTGGCTCCGCATTAGCGAACATCCGATCAAAATCCTGGCATTCACGCTCACAGTGGAGCGCACATGCGCAAACTGCCGTTCTCCCTCATTGCCACTCCATCAAATTTCGAAGGGAGCGCATGCCTTGAAAGGGTCGTGGCCGAAGAACTCCTCAAAGAGGTTGAAAGCATCCTGCAGGTCAACGTAGTCAACGGTGGGCTCTGGCCTGATTTCGAGCTTCCGAGTACACCGAGCATCACCGAGCTGTGCTGCACAGCACCTACACATCTCTGTGAGGCCCCGGCCGTTTGGGTGCGACTTTGCTGACAGGTTTGGAGCGCGCTTTTGCGGAAGATTGTCCAGGCCCTTGTCGTGCAAAGGAAGGAAAAGTGTGACGAAAGCCTATTACCAGAGGCACCACATAGTATCATTCCCACCCAGTGCCAATGGCTTCAGATGCTTACGAATCAAGATCACAGACCGATCAGTACAGAAGACACATACGGAGTAATATGCCATGATGCTAGAGGCGGCTCCATCAGCTTTCGCCAGCGTCTCATCATAAGCCTTTCGCCTCCCGGCATCACTGAGGACCTGACAACATACTGTGGACATTGTCAGCAAACCATCATCCAGCTGGAGAATGCTTTTCTCAATCTTTCAAATCTGCGAAAACCTTGTAGGCGGCAGCTATGCGCTTGAAGTTGGCTTCGGCCAAGGCCTTGGCCTGAAGGCGCTGCGCTGCGGACATGCGGGGCTTATGGCAGAAGGCTCCAGAGTCGGCCTCCGGGTTCTTGTCCGGGTGCCAGCGCAAGGCGGCCTGCAGGGCGTCGGGTGCGCTCACATGGCGTTTGCGCGGACGTCTGGTTGTCGCTTGCATCGTGTTGGGGGGCGGCTTGTCGCACCTTCTTGTACGCCTGGCGGACGTCTGCATCGTTGGCTTGCGGCGTCAGCCCAAGGACCGCATAGTGGTCGTCTTCATCCATGGCCCCGCTCTCTGACTGCACTGCAGGCAAACACTTGCCTATGGCCATGACTTGTGACTTGACGTTGTTTGCAACTGCTCAGCTGCGTGTTTTGCGAGCTCAGAAATCCCCATATTCGCGGGGATGTGGACTTGACGCTCGCCCAGCTGCAAACGGATGCAAAAGCAGTGCAAAAGCAGTGACGCGGTTGAACACACCATAACACAAATCCCCTTCAATGGCCCTCTCATGGCGCACGTGGCTCCAAACTGTCAGCTCGAAGTAGTGAAGCCTCTGCCAGTGAAGAGTTCAGAGGCATAGCTAGGCCTCGCATGTCACAGACACTTTTCCTGATGCACCGAGGGTCTCCTGCCAGCTGTGCGGAGTTGATGGTCCAGCAAGGCCGCAGCTCCTGGCACGATGCCATGTCAGGAATGGCGCATATGGTGTTTGTAAGGTGTACAAGGTGTATATGGTCAACACTCAAAATCTTGTGATCCCTTGTTGGGTCCCTGAAGCTATGCCACCCTCTCATCATGAATGCATCAGACTTCGCAGAGGCTGGCCTACAAATGCAGACAACGCAGCTGTCACGACCCAGTGCTCGTTAGTTGAACCACGTATTGCCCAACCTGAGTCCGATAACATCCAATCGGCGAACTGCTCTGGAGTTGCCCACGCATGGAATTGCACACAAGAGTCTTGCGAGGACTGGACGGGAAAATGCTGCTGGCAAAGCAACCCCCGCCAGTGTGGTATCAAGCGCCTCATGCTTTGCGACGCTTTGGGTCTCTTGCAGATTGTAGACAAAGCTGCCAGCCTGCTTCGATAGTCAGACTTCAAGAGGCAAGACAGATGCCTCCAACACGTGGGTGTTGATGAGAGCGCCACCCTGACGGCACGCAGAACAAAACAAATGCAAAGGCCTCTTTGACCTCTTCTCCCCCCATTAGCCAAACGTAAGCCTCTGGAGCGATGCTCATCGCAGCCCAGAAGGTGCCATGTCGGAGCTCCCGAATGCTCAGGGGAGAGTTCTGGTGTATGCTGGCTGTTCGCTTGCAGCGTGCATCTGCTTGAGCATTTGGATGCCAAGCGAGAGAAACTCCCTTGCATGCCTGTTCAATGTACGATGCAATAGGAACCACGCATTTGCTGCCAAGTGATCGGACTTAATCACTGTACGGGACCAGATGACATGACAAGAGAAACGAAGTTCTGAGAACTGCCATTGCTTTTCAACTATGCATTCAGAACTTAGAATGCTGGTGAAACCGTAGCAGACTCTGCCTTTGGCAGGTCTTCTAATGGGAATGACATTTTTTGCACTAGACTACAGGGGGATGTCTCGACCCTTCATCCGAGGAAGGCGTGCGAACTCCTTCGGCCCGAGCATTTTTCAGGGGATGTGCAAGTGCCATGTTTCCGGGGCTTCTGCCGAGTTCGATCTCGAAATGCCGGACGCCTCACCTCCACCCATGTCTGGCTCGCAATCCGCTGCACATGGAGTTTCTGGTTCTGGTAGCGGTGCTCCAGCCTCCAACCCACGGCTTGACCTCGCGACTGACCTGCTCACAAACGTGTCTAACTAAGCTAGCAAGGTGCGTTTCTTTCGGCAAACCGGTGAGAGCTACTTAGACTGGACTGGCTAGCTGTGCAGCTACCTCTAGAACACACATGGGTTGCAGATGTGGCATTGTTGAGCACCAAGGCTGCAGCCGGCATAGTATGCCTGAGCCCGCTCTCAATAGAATTTCGAATGTTGGAAGCTGAAAGCCGAGGTGCGCCAAGTTGTGCAGCATCTTGGGCTTGTGGACCATCTGACGGAGCGCGCTGCCCTTTTGAACCCCCCTCACTAACCCATGGTAAGTACACTTGTGTACACTTCGGTTGAGAATTCGGCCTGCGGATGGGTCGCAAGCTTCCGCTGCTTGCCAAGCCGCATGGCCGTAATCTCCTGGTTGCGGACGCATTCTTCGCACTATGCATGCCAGATGGGGATGCTACGAGTCCCCACCCCACCCCGCCCCACCCCCCCACCCCCCACCCCCAACATCCACGTTGATTTACTCATTCTTTGGTAGATTGAAAAATGTCAGGGAATTCGCATGCTCTTTGCATGCTCGAAAGAATGCAAACAGGTTGTAATCTCGCAGACGTCCGCGGCCCAACGCACGCGAGACTGCTTGAGGACGTCCGTTCGGCATGTTCTGCAAGGCCCACACGTGGGCTGCTTCTGCATACCCTCGTGCCGAGGCGGCTCGCGCAACGCTTGAAAATCAATCAAGAAACAACAATCGTGACGACAGATGCTCCCTCTAAGATCCTATAACCCCAGAACCCCCGCGGTCCATTCTCTGCCGCTCCGCTGCATCCGCGAGCATCTCGCACCGCTGGCTATCCTCGGCTTTCGAATTAGCTCGAAACCGCATAATATGCTCTACATATATATATATACATACATATATATATATATACACATATACATATAAATATACATACATATATATATATACACATGCATATACACATATATACATATTACTTACTATGCTCAGTATCACAGATCACCTCCACAATAGTTTACAATATAATCTGTGATGCATAGTATTGCGCGGCCCTGATATCCTCGGCCGCTTCAAAAGAAAACTTGTTTTGTTCTGATTCAGCTCTGCTTCATCCTGTTAACAGAACAGGCGCTTCCTCTGATCCGTGTCGGATAACCCTGTGTACTTTCCACCCAACTAGTAGTACCTTCAACATCTTCAACATGCCAGGTCAACTCTTGTACAGAGCCAGGCCCCACGCTCGTATCCGGCGCTGCTCCAACTTCTGGTTCCGAGCTCTTTGTATGGCAAGCTCTTCCTGCCAGCGTGCATGTCGCGGAACTCATCAACTCTCATGTTGAGTCCGAGTCCTGCGTTGCGCGAAGTGCTCGGATGAGCTCGCTTCTGGACATCTGCCTGTGACGACTTACAGAAATCACGGTTTT